ATGTGTACTTTGTATGGCCCACGGATCTCCCTCATAGAAGGATCTCAAACCGGTTAGTAGCGAAGCAATCTGGAGAATCCTTAGGTTATATAGGATAGAGGGTTAATCGCTGAAAAGATACGACCTTTGTTCTTCTGAGAAATAGATAGATGCAGAGGATGGATTCCTTATTTCTTCCGCTCCGATTTGGTACACACCTTCTCTGTTTATGAGGACGCATTCGTTAACGCATGCGTGGAAGTGTTCTTGTTTATGTAGATTGTATTGTACGAGTTAATGTGGCTAAAAACTTGCAAGCAAATGACTTAGAACTATATAAGAGGCGGTTAGGAGTCGCCTCCAACAAATAAGCTCCTCATCTACTCTGAGAGGGGTTGACATGCTCCGCTTCAGTGCATCCAGGCCCCACGTGAAGAGCTCAGCAAGTTGTACGTAAGTATCAAGCGCTAAACACAGTAAAATAAGTGAACTTCATTGCTGCTACTCCAATAGAGCCACCGATACTGTAGCGCTGGGTTCAACGAGTTCGGAGAGGCTGCTAAAATCTCAGAGCCATTCTACGTTGCATAAATTTCACAGTAAGGTGACGATCAGTACGTGCTGTGCTGGCTGGCTTGCGCATGAGTACTGGATAGAAGAAATGATAAAGTACAATGTAATCAGACTGGCTGTGAAGAGAAGGTGCCACCATACATAGCCTTCTGTAACAACCAAGACGAACAGTTCCTCGGAACGTGTAAGAGTAGAGAATTCGACGGCGTCAGCGTTCCCGTCAACATGACTTCGGCCATGAACATCGATTGATTCAAACAACTTGTAACCCAAATCAGATGTTTACGGTCGAAGAAAAGTGGTTCAGTACCGGTTTTGACAATCATCATCGTCAACGTACCGATATCAAGAAATGATAAAGACGAAGTTGAAGCGTTTTATGTGGACTTATAGAAATTCTACAGGGAAGACCGCACTTTCTCTGAGGTCAGTTGGAGATTTTAACGCTAATATTGGACCCGAAAAGACGACTGAAAAACGTAACATTGAGATCTGTAGATCAGGGTGAAAGGAGCGAGGTGAGCGAATGCATGAGTTTACCATGTCGATCAAGACTATCCTTGGTAACTTGCGCTTGTAGAAGCCCCACTCTCTCAAGGTTTGACATGTGTTTCTCCCGATGGAGAGCACCGTAAGAAAGCAGACCACATTATATCAAATCAAGGTTGTCCCAAAATTCTACACGTGCAAAACTCGATATCTCGCGAAAAGGGAGAATGCTTCCAAGTTCAACAGAAAAGAAGTCTCGAAACTACAGTAAACTGGGATTTATTCAGAGAATTAAGTGGAAGAAGATGCCATAATTGACACTGACGAGTAACACGATAGCGTCATACAAAATTTTCACGTTAAGGCTATGAAAGGTGAGAGTTAGAAAGTCACCAAAAAACGTCTGCCTCTAAAAACACTCGAATACGCCAGCGTTCACAAGCTGCGGACGCCGCCAATTCGCGTCTGAACGTGCAAAACAACACAGGCAGGCATGGAAGATCTTAAAGAGAGAAGAGCAGCAGTTATGTTCGAAGCTGAAGAAACCGAAAAAACATTTCTCAAACCCCACTGAAGCTTCGCAAACTACAAAACCTAGATTGCACTACAACTTCCGGACGGTACAGTTACAGGTTCCAGAAAGGCAATGGAAGGAGCCATTCACTGCAACTCTCATACGAAATAAAAGAGGATGGATATGTCATCCTGTCGGCTCTCAGTCCCCCAATTTGGCATGCCATTTTGCTGTTGAAGGATAGAACAACACCAAGTCCGGACAGGATAACATCTGAACACCTGATGAACCTTTCACCAGTCCTCGCAAACACACTGGCTTGGCTCTTCACTCGTTACATGTCAGAATGCAATGTTTCTATTCAATGGAAGATGGGCAAGACTATGTTATTGTTCCAGAGGATGACGCACGCGATGTCGGCAAATATTGTTCAATCTTCTTTCTCTCCTCTCTTCGCGAACTTTTCACTCCACTCGTCATCCACATTATTGACAAAGTATTGGTTGGTTGACATCCATGTAACCAACCAAGGTTTCGAAAAGGATTCAGCGCGGTGGACCACATCCATACTGTATCACGACTCACTGAAGTATCGAGAGAGTACAGTAGACGCCTCCGTCCTAGTTTCACTGGTTTAAAGAGAGCTTTTGACTCAGCTGAGGTAGAAGTAGTCGTCGAAGCCCTGAACAGCTAGGAAGTCCCTACTCAGTGTGCCAAGATTCTTCGTGAGCTATATAAAAATTTTACAACAAAAATGTCACCATTCTACGACGCTATTGACATCGACATCGAAAGAGAGGTTATGTAAAGCGATATCATCTCACCAAAATTATTTACCGCCGTCTTTAAGAACGCCATGCGAACACTCGAATGGGACAACTTGGGAGTGAAAATCTATGATCGGCAGTTATAGAACTTTCGCCTTGCTAATTATCATTCTTATAAAAGGATAAAAAGGATGAAGCTCTCGGCGTTCATTAATTCCTGAGGATTTCCATGCATTTCACTTCATTAAGCATCGTTCGGAGGTGATTGAATGCATATTTGGCTTTTACAATGACTCGCTGTGGTCTAACCATGTATCGATCCAGTGCTGTTATCCTACCAGACAAGTCTGGTACCAGTTTGCCGAGCCTGGAGGAATGAAAGCCTTGATGGGCCGTGGGCGTGGGGATCGACTCCACTTGTTTGTTGCAGAGACCTCCTACTACTGCGCCACGCGTGCTCTTTGACATCGTTCTTATAACACGAAGTATAAACCGAAAAGTAGGGATGTTTGGCGGCTTTGGTAACGCTTGTGGAAGGATTAGTCTTCTTCTTAATCTCATAAAAATAATGTTCTTGAGGAAAGGGTTGCTTACGTATACCCCATTCATGCTCAACAGGCGATTATCTCAGAACGCTTCAGGTTCTCCTATCTAGGTCAGGAAATGAACACGACGAACTACTTAACTCCATAGTTGAGTAGGAAGAACGATCCTTGGGTAGCACTTAAGAGTATCGGTGATGTAGTGAGGAAAAAAAAGTACACCCGACTCTGCTCCCAGCTTTTCGACCATACGATTCTTCTTGCCTATCCGTATGTATTATAAACCTGATCGCTATGTAGGCAGTGTGAAAAATCGCTCAGCGTTGCAGAACCCACAGACGAAAGGACCATGCAAGGAGTATCCTGTATGACCCATGTGAGGGAATGTACCCGAAGCTCCGATCTACGGTGACGGCCAAGGACCAAGGAAGCCGTCCTATGTGCCAAACTGTAGAAGATATGGTGAGCCGAACACGTAATGTGTACGAAAGGCCACCGAGCCGACGGTCATAGTTCTTCACGAAAGCACTGGAATAAGGATATGATGTTCACCTACTTTCTAGATCGATCAGGACTAATGGGTTACTCTTGCACGCGAAAGGGAGAAATGGAAGGTTTACTGGCACTTTATCGAGTCAATCGATGATCTAAGGAAAGGCAGGTGACACAGGTGATTTTGAAGGGCACTTCTAAGGTTGCACAAGACCCTAGTTTTAGAAAGGTTTTTTGCCTCCGATTTCAGCAAAATGTGGTGTTACTGCTTTACAGTCGGCTTTTCGAGCCAATACATTAGTACGTTCTGCCCCGTTTGACGTCAGCTAAGTGTTGTATAATTCTTCTACGTCAGTTCGCTTACAGCACATCTGATAAAATAAACAGTGACATGTTTTTCGCTTTCCAATGAGGCTTTGGTAGGATTACGTATTATTTATAATAACCATAAAAATACGATTAATGGCTATCACGTACTCTACTTTGTGTCATGTAATGGGAAAATCAATGTTTCAAAACAAAAAAGCAAAAATAGAGTACAAACGAAGAAAAAATACTGGGATTATGGATGGATTTTTGTTTTCAGTTGCGGACCGCTTCAGAAACTCACTACAAAAAAAGCGAGTAAAAGAACTTTATACGCTCTCACTAGCGGTTGCTGTTGAATGTCCACTAACGGAATTCCTTGTATCGGCCCAGGTAGCATGCCAAGTTGATAAGGATTAGGACGAGGTGGCTAAATTACAAATGTAAGAAATGTAATTAATGCATTTTTTAAACCGTCTTCTCTGCCGGACGTGTCTCAAAGAAACTATTCAGAAAATTTGAATCCTTTCCGTCAACACTGCAGTTGAACAAGGAAAGGAAAGCAATGATTTTTAACCACAATTTTTTTTACTTTTCTCTCGGAGGTGGTTCAAAGAGGAAAATGCCTCTGCCACAATTATTCGTGCTAATTTTTTCGTCGACGTTAGATATGAAAAATCCACCGGTGCTTGAATGGTCGTAATATCCAGTGCTTTATCATCGAAACTGACTTGTGGTGCGGCCAGTGCATGCTGAAACGACAAAGCATTTTTTACTTCTTTTGCTTTCTTCCATCGACGTCAGCGTTTTATTTGCGGCAGCAGACTGCTATATAAATAATAAAAGTAATAAGAATAGTAATAAAGTAATCTAATTCAGAACACTAACTGCATGAGGAAAAGAGAATAAATTGAAGATACTGAGAACCGGATTCTGATTTGACAAGTTCGGATAGTCCAGTGGGGAATTGGATTGTTGAGTGGGTGACGATAGCAGCCCTTAGAAAGCAGTCAAATATTATGCGAAATTATCAATCATTATTCCTCCTTTCATTCAAACTGTTACTGTTTCCGTAAAACATTTTGTCCTTGATCGAAAAATAAAAACGATAGAAATATTGGATTCAAGTGGCAAAGTGATAACTTGTAATAAGGTTAGGAAATCGTAAAGCGCAAGTAAGTGAAGCTCACAAGGTGGTGGGGATAATTTTTTGCTCTCGGTTTGAGTAGGAGTTCGCACAGGTGGTGGTATTCCGTTCACAGCCTTAACATAGAATTTGTAACCAAACAGTTGAGAACACCTGTTTTATAAAGAAATGGCCGTTGAAAAAAACAAGTATTATGCATGAGCGACGAGTACTGAATAGGCGCCAGCTGATGGAAGTTGACCGGGTGGTAGGTTTCGATAAGGATTCGGAAGTGAAGCTTGGGGATAGCGAGAGCGGTACAAACGTTCTTCCTCCTAAATAGAAAAGTAAATGACTTATTATGCCTGTTTATTAAATATTCTTTGTGGGACTATACGACTGGGTTGGTTTGATTCTCTGACACTACAAAGACACCTTTTCTTTGTCTGATATCATCGAAGTTGTTGCATAGTAGATGGCTTCGACCAGTGATTTATCTACTTATTAAATGAAAAATGAATTATTGCTCGAAGTATATTCATTGCCCTGCCGTTCAATATTTAGGTTTTTTTTACTATATTTCGCTAACAATACAATAGAACTTTTTCCTGTGAATTTCCCGTACAACTCAGCTTTCAACATCTCCAGTTCCTTGCCAATTTTCCGTGGAATAGGTTTGTTTTGCCTGGACCACGCGAATGAACCAACGACCATGTGCTCCTTTAAGGAGTCTTAAACGAGTGCGCTATATACGCACTTCACTGGAATTACGTTTAAACTTCCTCAACATTTTGCATTCATCCAACTCCCTTTTCAGACGAATAGATTTGAATAGATTCTTGGACTGGGAATGGTAGAGGAGTTAGCGCCAGATGATTAATTCAGTGTGTAGTAAACTAAGAGAAATTACGACTTGTTTTGTACTATTCAGGAGACAAATCTTAAAAATGCCCATATCCGCTAACAAAAAGGGTTGTCACTTATATTAGGATAAAAAGGAATGGAGCCTTCGGCATTAATCAATCGCTGAGGGATCCGCTATGTATTGGACTTCATCGAACATCGTTAAAGGTGATTGAATGCATAACTGTCTTATATAATGACTCGCTGAGGCTTACTGACATAACATGTCATTGCTTCAATCCTCCCTAGACAAACCTGGTACAAATTTACCGACTGCGGAGGGTAGGAAGGCTTGGTGAACTCTATGCTCGTCATTGAAACAAAGATCACATGTGCATTGCAGCGCGCCTCTAACCACTGGTGCTACACACGCCCTGTCACTTGGGTTAGAGGGTACGAAAGAAATCTGAGCCAAAACTAGAAAAAGCTCTTCTTGATCAACCTAGTTTTGCAAACGCGATTACCAAAAAATCATCGTATTCCTCAATTTCGGCCAGCAAATTGTTGTACTCGGGTTCTCGTTGCAGTGGAGGTGGTTTTGGCCTAAATCGAAAAGATTTATACAAAATTTAATGATCTTATCCCGAAATACGAAATTATCCCAAGTTAGTGACAACACCTGAAAATAAAAGGCGGATAGTATTCACTACGTGTAACATCAGATCTTACACCACCATGGTCCACGTTTGCTCCTTCATCTAAAAACAAGCTGCAATGTAATAACAGCGATGATGAGATATTTGCAAAACTCCGGACAGCAGGTGTCTGCGGTGGGGATCGAACACGCTATTACCCTTTCCTGGAGTCAACGCGTTCACCATCACACTATGTGGATCCTTCGTTTCGGCTTTCTGTCAGCTAGTTTTCTATCTACCAGTTCCACCAGCAATCACCCTCAAAAAGGATTGTTCTGGAAAGCACGGCATTTAACTCAGTTAAGATCAATGGTTCAGATCAACCCCGTTGACAGGTGACTGCTGATGGCATTGGAGAAACGGGGGACCCACATAGTGTAGTGGTGAATGCGTTAACTTTCGGAAAGAGGAGTGCGTGTTCGTTCCCCACCGCAGACATCTGCCGTCCGGAGTTTTGCAAAAAATCTAAGCATCATTGTGGTTGGATATCACATGCCGTAAAAAACTGTAGCAGACAGTGGATAAGAAACTTCATAAAGTGCAATGTATTTTCTTGCAAATGCGTGGATGGTGAAAAGTTCTATTCACTTGACGTTTCACGTACTCATCTTCCTTAGTGCCAGTAGATCGAAAATAGACCGACATCCACCCTGTAAAGAAGGGCACCCCGGAGTTGGGATAGTTCATTCGAGTGCTGCTCCACTCCATTGAATTCGACACGATGGAACATGAAAACGCACATCGTAACAGAGACCAGCTGTGGACCGACTCGGATCAATTTGTCTCTAGGGGAAGGCGAAGATTTCAAAACGGAGGCCGAATAGAACTGCTTGCCAATCTTATGTGAGCTCAACTATTGATGAAAATACAGATTATTTCCACTAAAATTGAACGAAACTCGATTTTAGGAAAGTGAAAAATGTTTTTTTCGTGAACTACCAGATGGAAAAAGAAATTGGAAATATAAGTATGGTCGACTTGCCATAGTACTTTATTTCTCGATGCCGTGCTCGTTGCCTCTCAACCTAAAAATTCAAATATTAATCATCTAGAAAAATAGTGAAAGCAGTCAGCAATAAAAATTTTCATACAAAAAAACTTTACGAGATCAACTGTAAATAAGTTCGCACAGAAGGATTTTGACGAGGTCTTCGGGACTTTTCACTGTGCTGCGCCAACTGGTGAGATTTAGTATTCGATGAAACACGTAACGATAGATCATCATCTGCTGCATCATCCTAGTATTGTCTAACTAAGTTGGATTTAGTTATAAGTATGTTAACACAACGTTAACCTTTTATTTGCTGCCTATTATAATTTTTTGCGGCAAGGTGTGATGTGAAATACAGCCACAATGATGCTGAGATAGTTGCAAAACTTGCACCCAGGGCCAGATAGAACCACGATTACTCTTTCCGGAGGAAATTTCCCCAGGATCTGGCTCGAAGTCCAAGTTTTGCGAATAACTCAGCATTGCTGTGGTTGTGTGATGACATTTAATTACCTTGCTCATTCCGAGTGAAAAAAATTTAAAAAAACGAAGCAAAAAAGCATTAAGGAACTTACTGGGAGAGGGTAGAGCAGTGGTACTGATTCTGTTCATTATGCGAACAGTCCAGCGTACCTAGGTCATGTTTCGGACCCGCTCGGGCCCACCAGGTCTCTCATCCCTCCGCGGTAAGAAAAATAGTGTGCGAATTGACTGGAGCAAGCTCACTCCCCCTAACCTATGTGGAAATGCCTCGGTACGGCTATCTAAGGATTTCAAGGAAAATCAACTGGAGCAGTATTCAACGACATTCGTGACGAAGAAAAAAATCCTCAAGCAGAGCTGCTGAACCCACACACAGGAACTTCTAAAATTTTGGTCGATGGTAGATACGAGGAAACGAATCAAGTGGAAAAAGTGCTAGGATTGGTACAGTGTGATAGTTATAGTCCCGGGACATGTAATAAAAAAACTGATAACAGCTGAGCTTACCTCGTATTCAGCAACTTTGTTGGTGTCCTCTTGCACATGGCTTTCTACTGCATCACGTTCAGTTTGTGAGAAATCACGAATTTTTGTGCCTTGTATCTGAAAAAAAATAGTTTTTGGTATGCAAGGTTTTCTTATTGATTCTTTCCGTGGTCGTTTAAAAAGAGATTGGAAGAACACTCAAATAGCAAGTACCAAGAGAATCCTGATGTGCTTTGAAAAACCTGCCATTTCTTTTCTAAATAGATATCGAGTTCTTTAATCTTCATTTTTTGTTTAAGTTTTCTTCTTTTTTTTGAACGCTTTTATTATAAGGATTTGAAAGTGGGAACCTGATTTCTCATTATCTGGGCTGCATTGACTTTTTCTGTTTCATTATTTGGATGAAAGACACCGTCGTCGTCGTAGGTGCCATGTATCCTTAAATAACTCTAGAACAACGAATAACTCTTTTTTAATTCTATATTTTATTAAGACTACAATGAAACCAATAAAACAGTGATGTTTCTATGGCTCATATCCTATCCCTGCCTATTTCATGTATCTTATCTCCTTCTCAACTAGAATTTAATTGAAAATTAAACTTTCCTAAACCGGTTATTGTGGATTTGTTCCAATCGTAATTGTAGATTTTTCACAAATTTTGGTAATAGTAAGGGAAAAATAGCAGTGCATAAAAGAATGACTGCTCGTACCGGCTTTCTGGCATAGGGGGTAGTTCGACCATAGCATTGACGGCATAAATGCCACCCGGATTCGTTGATGGTGTAGTGGGTATGGCGGTGGCACGAGTTATAGGTGGACGTGGTGTTGAAGTCAACTGATTCATTACTGAAGTTTCTATATTCATATAAAAGCTGAACGGAATAAACTCAATTCTCCGATTTCCATTAACGTTTGCCCTCAGACTAAGGTCGTTGCATAACAATGGGACGCCTCAGATACACGTGGGAAGTTTTATAAAGTAGAGAAGGGAATGTGCTTAAAATCTTTCCGATATATGGCGAATTTTTATAAATTTGCAACTTTTGTCTAAATCTTTTCACAGATCAAAGATGTTGCTTCATTTTGAGGTTGTAGAAGTATTGGTAGCGGTGTGATAATTGAACTAATCGGATCGTTATATAGCCCATATGAAAAGACCTTTCTTGAAAATTCTGTCTCACCTTCTTCATGTGTAAGAGGAAGGGGTGGAAGACCGACTATCAATGGAGGTGTATTAAAATCACCAAGACCTCGTAGTGTTCCCTGGGTCAAAGCATGTTGAAAGAATCCAAAACCGCCTAGATTTCCAGAATTTAGCAGACGAGCGTACTGATCGAGTTGTGATGGGCCGTATAGATTTTGAGCAAGTGACAACGGTATTATCAGAAACAATAGTAACATACCCTGAAACAAACAAATTACTTACTGTTCAGTTGAAATGGCAAAATTTTACGTTAAATCTTGATTTCTATCAAGTGACATCTTCACTGTTACACATTATCCAACCGCATTGCTATTGAGAAGGAAACAACGGTATAATAAACGAAAACGGATAAGCTGATCAGTTTATTACAGTGCTGAAAAGTTAGTCGTTATAAAATTGGATAGAAATAAGTTGGGTACTTAAAAAGGTCTCTTAACTTCCAATAGGAACTGATCAGCACCAACGACAGCATAATATCTTTAGAATGCACGAAAAGCTTGAATCTCGTTTGGACGGTAAGTGCGCTTTCTTGGTGCGAGAGAAAATCCGACTATGTCGATCATACGCTTCGTTTTCAAGACGATTTGATAAGATTTTGACAAGACACGCACGTAAGGAAATCGAATTCTCAACGAAGTGAATTGAGTAAATGACTCTGAATACCTATGACAGAAAACGGTTTCGGATGAGAAACTAACAGAAATCCATTTCAGTTACTCTAAGCTTTTTGACAAACTCGCGATTGTTGCTCAATTTCATAAAAGGTCACAATAAAGTTACGTTTGTGTTTTATTTGATTATGGATCATCTGTTAATTAGACCGTCACGTTAGGAATTGCAGAAACCAATCAGCATGTGAGGTATTCAAAAACGGTCTACCGGCCTGTGTTAACGGCTTTCCTTGTTCTAAACACTTCTTAAGGAAGAAGAAAAAATCTAAATATCGTCTTGTATTAAATAGTAATCAAATCCTTCTTTATAATCTTGGACGAATAATGACAACCGCGTTCAACAAATTACCATCCTTAAACAAGTACTTTCGAGAAAAGCAAATGAACGAGTTATTTAAAAAGAGATGATCACAGTATAGAAACGAAAGTAGTCTAGTGCTTTAGAACAACGTGTTGCCAATGGTTTCAGTTCGTAATCGTGGTTTTGAGCGAGGAGATTGTTAGTAAGTGTCGGACTGTAATGTACAATAAAGTTCGTTCTAAACAGAATCTTTAAAACTAGGAATGAATCTTATATTTTTGTACAAAAGCCGAGTTAAGTGCAACCCTCCTACTATAACTCTGAAACGAACCCAGTAGAAAGATTCAATAAAGGACATCGCTTGGATCGACTGTGGTTATTTGCATAGTAATAACCTGGCTGGCGTTTAAACTATCCACTGTCAGCACGAGTTTTTATGAGGGCGCGATATTCAAGAATACACAAGAAGACTCATAAGGCATTTTTAAGGATGAAGCTATCGGCGTTGATCAATCCCTGAAGGACGCACCACGCATTCGCCTTCATTAAGCATCGTTGGAGGTGATCGAAGGCATATTTGACTTACACAATTACTCGCGGTGGTCTAAAAATGTATCTAGCCACTTCTGCTATTAACCCAGACAAGCCTCGTGCCGATTTGCCGACCCCAGAGGGATGGGCGGCATGGTGAGCCTTAGGCGCGAGGGCCGATCACATGTGTATTGTAGGGCGCCTCCGACCACTGTGCTACACTCGCCCATCTTCAAGAATACTTGCATATAACGATTCGATATTTTTGTCCTTTCTTCCTTTTATTACTATTTTTGCCATTATTGGGTTAAAAAATATATGTCTTTATTAAAAGTGACTGCAAAATATGGAAGAGAGTGTGCCAAAAAAATCTTCACTGGTGATTTAATCTAACGGATTTGAGAAGTGATTTTGTCGAACGGATAAAATTATATAGCAAATATTCTGAAAATAAAAAACTGTTACAATCACTTTAAATCATTTGAAAGACGGAAGTTAAAAATTTTTGTGGAGAGAATTGCCTTCGACGAATACCAACTAATTATTGAACGCACCTAGTTTTCTAAGGTCCGCCATGGAAAAAATTTTCTCGAACCACTTATAACTCGACAGTTTAGGTCTTTTTTATCGCCATAGCTGAAAAAAATGCTAAAAACACTGTGATGAGCGATACGAGTTGATATGAATTATGATGAAGTGACTCGTCATCGTTAGGTATACGATCTGATGACAAGTGTATGGAGACTTGTTGAGCGTGAATAGGGGAAGATTTGAGGTCGTCTCGTTGTTGTTCGCTAATAGTAATGAATAGTAATGACTAGCGATATAAACCAGACATGCATATAGACGACTAACAAACCAAAACGGGTCTCTGAATGTCTTTCACGATCTGCGCACAAAGTTGACCGCTTTCAACTCGTTGGAAATCCTACAAGTAATGTGGTTATTAGAGGGACACCACCGTTCGGGATTCTCCATACACTCAATAGTGTGCAATTTTCCATCAGCAGACGAAGTACTAGCATTTCAAATGCGATTAAGCCTCTACTTAAGCAGTTACAACCTGTAAGGAATAAATTACTTTTAATAGTTACACTGCCAACCTTCACAAATCATTACGAGGGAGCTCCAGTACAAATTTTATTTGAGTGACATTCGGTCAGTTGTGCAGATTTCCTTGATCTAAATTCGTGAAACAGCAGCTCCAAGGCGCTTCTTAATCATTGGTGAGATTCAATGCGTGAAATAGATAGTATTAGTAAGGGTTTCACGGCTTTCGAATTGCTGGTTGAAAAGGATGGTGGACATAAAGGAGTACATAGTATCGAATAGAATTCATGAGTGAATCTCGACAAAAGATGCACAAAGCCATTCACATAGATCGTCCTTGAAAACAAGCAACACTCCAAAAAGAAGGCACTTTGCACATCTTTATGGACTAAGTCACACGTTACACAAAAAAAAGCAGGGAGAAGAAAATGCGTTGACACACCTTTTCCTTTTAAACTGGATTGGTAAAAGATTTATCCGAAGACATACAACAAGCTTAAAATTCCACTAAGCCCCAAAATATATAAAGAGCTTAAAAATGCACACATCAATATTAATAAATTCTACAATAACAACCTCGTGCCTGCTTATCTAAGATAAACATTGAATTATCAAACAATGCCGAGGTTAACAGAAAGTCGGTCTTGGAAAAACGCTTCAGTTTCACGCTTTGTTTGGATTGGATAGACTCAAAAAGTATGAAAGGAATAATTCTGTTCAGTAAAAATTTGAGTGGATTTAAATATGTAATGAGACTGGTGTGTTTTTCGATGTCCTCTTATCCAAATGGGTTAATAATCAATGGAACGGTAGTTAAGGTTCAGCATAACCTAGTAGAAGTACTCTATAAGTAGTGTTGCAAAATCAGATAGAAAAATTGCGCTAAATTGAGTAATTTCAAAATGTTACCATAAAGAAACAAACTAACTAGTCATTTGAAGAGTCAGGAAACTATTAGCACTATCAGGAAAGTAAGGAGGCGGTAGCTGTCATAAGTATTAGTAGGCCATTAAGTTTTTTTTTTACAAATAACAACGGGCTTCGTGGCTCCATTGAAATCCTATGCATTTTCAATGGATAGATCGAAACGTAATAATATCGTCAAAAATTTTTTAAAATAATAATTTCTTCCTACCTGTATGACCAGCTTGAGCTTTCTTTACTTGAATTTGAATGCTTTACCGATAAATATTGTTGCACTTAAGAAGCACCAGTGAGAGGATTCACGAATAAGAGTACAATTCCTAGAGCCATGGTATTCTTTAAGCCATTGAAAGCAATAAGGGATTGGAATGCTCGATTATTGTGCAACAAAAGGATTTTAATCCCCTATTGGTTAAAAATACATGAGCAGTCTAATCTAAGAAATGCTTTGAAGTCCCATGAAAAATCCATACTTATGGTCTCATCTCCAAGAAAGTAAAATCTTGACAACCATCGTAGACTTCCAAGAAGGAAATTTTGCCGATATGGCAATGTTTGATGGAATAAACGTTGTGTCAACAACCTCATGTTAATCTATTACTGGTCAATATCAGGATCTCTTGATTCCTTGATAATCCTTGGAACTATTGAATACCGTAGGTGAGCGTGACTACCAGTTATTTGGACTTTTGAAATTTTTAGGAAACACCTAGAGAGCCTTGTGCGTTGATGTTTTTGATTCCTGCGCTAGGATGCTGGCAATCAATTAAAATCTTGAGCATTGTGGTTCTATGCCCTATGTCCATCTCGAGGAGTATTTTGTTGAATTTTAGGCCTCCAATCTAGATGCTCGTTTATGTAGACACAAAGTGTTCGACCCGTTTCTTCAATGTACTCCTTAACACATGCCTTACATAAGAAGAAAAATTGTACCTGAACTCACGCAATCTCGTCCCACCTGTTGGTACAGTTCACACAGTTTTCTGAACCGCACAGGCGATCACAGAGGCGGTGGCGGACTGATTGACGGCTTAGGGCGCTGAGCCGGAGGTCAATATCTGCCACATAACTTCCATGACCACTTTTTCTTAGGCACATCTTAATGGCGTAACTTATTTCGTTCGACATGAAATGTTTCCTAAAAGGGAACTTACTTTGAAGCATAATCCAACCTTTTGAGCTGATTTGAGTGCCTTGTGCTTCATAGTCATTGAAAATGTCTATTTTTCATGCCAAGTTTAACAATTCCTTCCTTTCCTCTTCTCCAATGCACGCATTTTTAGCCGTTAGCTACATATTTGGATAAGCACTTCTTTCATGCCTGAGAGATTACAGGAGATGTAATGCACCAGTATGTTTTTCCTACTCGGTTTCCGATATCATTTTGTTATAAAGCCACTTTCCGAAAGCCTTATTTGGATGTTTAAACATGGAAGCCATCTTTCGGCTGGATTTTCTCAGGTAAATTTTACACACTCTGACTGTTTATTTAACAGTTCAAAGCAGTCAGTCAAGTCAAATCACTTTTCACTAGGATATTTTATGCACTGGCAGAAAAACAGTTCTCAGCCATACTTTCACCGATAGATTAAGAAATATGGACCTCTGGACCGTTTAAGAGCTTCTTCGAGGTTTTTGAGAACGTTTGGAATTTGAATGAATTTTTTTGGTGAATGATTATGATGTCGGTTTGTCAGCAAAAATAGTAAATGCACGGGTG